TTAATAAGAAAAAAATTATTAATTTGTTTAGAAAAAATAAAGGAAATTTATTTATCCAATATAAAAAAAAAATTCGGTTCTTATTCGGTTCTTCGGTTCTTGGTCGAGAACTGAGAACCGAAACCGAACCAAACCATTCGGTTCTCAATTCGAATACCCGTTCGGGTATTTCATTTTAAAAAATCCGCTCGATTCGGTTCGATTCAGTTCTGGTTCGGTTCAGATATTTTACCCAACCTTACTCATGCCAGTCCTATTTCAATGGACTGGATGGCATTTAGCCTCGTAGTCTTCCATAAAATTAAGGGGAAATTACATAAAATCAGGTACTTTATAAACTTTCAAATTCAAAATTCAGGTATGAAGTTTATTTAATCAAAAAGCAGGTATTAATTGGATATTTTTTTAATTTAAATAATATTATAATACTAATATTTCAAATAAAACTTAATTCATTTTCAATCTCATTTTCTCTCATTACTCACTTACTCTCTCTCCCTCCTCTCTCTCCCTCTATCTGAAATCGAAGCTCGCTGCCGGTAGCTACCACTGCTAGATCTAACAAACCCTGGCGCCTCTGCGTGCAGATCTATGGTTTCACTTGTACACAGATCATGACAAATTATGACCGCTTCTTCTCTGCTCACTAAGGCGAAGGCGACGCGAGGGGTGTGAGCGCGCTTCTTCCCTGCTCAGCTTTTGTAGACTGACGTTGCAGTGAACGGAAGCTTCGCGACGATATGGTGAGATCAACTCTAGTCAGGTGCGGTATGGTGTGGTGGTAAATCTAATGCAGTAGATCTGGGTGGAGGTTGTGGCGGTGGCAGGTTTGGGGTTTTTTGTTTTGTTGGGTTGTGATTGTGGTGTTGTGTGGTGATGCCTATGTTGTTGGCGGCAACGGGGATGGTAGTGGATCTAGCGGCGGCGCGATGACGGGGTGGGGGTGTGGTGGCGACGACAAGTTTGGGGTTTTTTGTTGGGTGGTGGTTTTGGTGTGATGTAGTTTGTTAATGGTGGTGGT